TGGGTCCGTGGAGTTCTTGATCCTGAGTTTGGCTGTGAGACTTTCGTTCTAAGGCTCCGATGTCATTGGATGAATTCATTAAGACTGCTTTACCCTTGTGTTGAAGCCTTCATTCGGCTGCTTGAGTGCCGAGTCAACTGGTGTTTATTTATTTCCTCGATGCAATATATTATATTGAAAAAAACAGAACACCCTCAAACATTTTGCGCTCGTGACTGCTTCCGGGATATAAGAATTGCAGGTGGAAGGATTGCAATTTTGAGAGGATTTTTGGAGGACTTACGTGAAGCAGAGCAGGTGCATTGTCCATGTCCGCATACTTTGATTTATGCAGATGATGCGGATGCTGGTTGAGGATGACAGAACTGTTCTTCAGCAAAACAAATGGTTGTGGGTCAAAACCCGTATCCCCAAACCAGGGTAGGTTGACATCCTTATTAGTCCCAAAACCAAATGTATTTACCTGGATTTACATGGCAACAATATAGATATATATACACATATTTGGTAGTTGTTGAGTAAGCTCAATAAAACATAGTTAGGATCGATACAAACCTGAGGGTTCAACTGCAATGATCTCACAGGCCAACAAGGGTTGCGAAGGGTTGCGGGATACATGGGCGTACTATTGTGTTCTTTACGGTTCTCTTTGCTACACATCTCTTGTCGTTTCCGAGTCCTTTTTCTTTTCTCTTGCTTTGTTCCTTGTTTTGTTTTTGTTTCCCTTCTCAGGCTCCGTTGAGGAAGACGATTCGCTGGGTCCACCTCCTACTGTCCTACCCAAAAGGCTCCAAAAGGTTCAACACTTCCATACAGGGCAAGTAAAAGAGCAAAAATATGCGCAAAAGGCAGACAAACCTCAACAAAATTGACAAGTAGCAAAAACAGTGACTCTCTCCAATCTATCCTGCACCTTCCTTTTCTTTGTTTGTTGCGTGTCATTTCCTTTGACCCTTTTCCGTTTCTGGCATAGGCGATTGCAAAGTAAGGGGCAGGGCAGGAGATCACTGAAAAGGAAGGAATTGAAACCGAAAAAGAAGATGGAAAGACTAGTAAGTAACTAAAAGGCAGGCGAGAAAAGGAAAGCCTTGAAGGAAGGCCATAAAAGTATGCCATATTAAAAAGGGCACAACGGGAAAGGCCCCAACCCTCATTTAAAAAGAAAAGTTGTTTGTGGCTGAATATGCTAGCCCTGTTGTTTGTTCATGGCGTTGAACTTTGAATGTTTAACTTAAACAGAACTGCTTGTAGACCCTCTAGACTTGTTGAAACTAACATGGTGTGCTGAGAAACATGTGTTTTTTTGAATTGTAGTTGTCGCTTTTGTTGGCTTCTCGTGTTTTTTCTGACTTGCATTTGTTGCTTCGTGGAGTTGCTTCTTGTTTTTTTTACCGTTTCGAAATATTTCCAGATTTTCCAGAGCCCAATTCCAAAGCTTTGTAAAACGCCCCACACACACACAAACAAGCGAGTCACCACATTTTGGCAATGATGAGGTTAGCGCTAAAAGCAGAAGTTGGAGCCTTGCGCTCAGTTCCTGTGTTGGACCCTGATTTCATGCTTTTACTTCGAAGTTCTCATCTTGAAGGAAAGATCCAGCTCCAGGCACAGCCTGTGCTTGCTTCACGTGTATCGCACTTAATTATATACTTGCACACGGTCTTCATGTTTTGGCGCGATCAATGCTGTCCACTCATCATACTATGATAGTATAAGCGAAAACAGGAGTCTAGTGAGTGACCTGCCAAGCAGCAACATACGATTGACGGACTATTGTTTGTGAGTTGGCTGAAACAGGCAAGGAAGAAGATAAACTGCTGTTCAACACGTGACTTGTCGATGATGACATGGGCCTTCTCCAAGCCTTGCTCTGAGCGCACCAGACGCCAATTGACATAGGGCTTATCGGTCTTATCTATTATCTGTTGTGCTGTGCATTTGCATATACCATACACCGAGCAACGTTGGTCGGACACAATTCCAGAGCACAGCGTGCCTGTTGGGCTGGGGCCGGGTCAGGTGTAAGCAAGTCGACAAAAGTGTATTTGATGCAGCGATTGGCTTGCTTGCAGATATGGCCCCACAATTTCGCCCCCAAGGCCGGCACTTAAGCATGACATAGTCATGGCTTCAGCTGAGTCAAGGAAAAAATAAGCATGCAATCCATTGCAAATGACAACATTGCAACGTTGGTCGTTCAAAGTGTCTTCTCGGGCAAAGCTTTTGGTTTTGGTTGCAAGGCCTCACAAATCTATGCTGGGCCTTTGTCACAACGCGTTTCACCACTGGAGTGGAGGCCACTCGACTTAGTGAAGCTGCAATGACATTTGACATCTTCCAGTCGTGATCAGGAAACCACAAAAGAGATCCTCAGGAGAGGTATCTCAGAGTTTTCTCCACAGGCCGTGGGTCAACTGCATTTTCTCGACGTCAACCGCCCAATGAAATGAGAGGCCATTTCAATTCTTGCTTGGTGCAGCGCCACAGCTTTGCAAAGCTCGCTCCTTGCCTACAGAACGGGGGTTCTCCATGCCTCCTTCAGCATCTTTTTTAAGGGGCTCAAGATTCACAATCCAGAGACAAATATGATGTGTCAAAGAACGCGGCCATGTAATGAATCATACATTAATACATACATAAGTCATCATAAGTCATACATGCATGTATATGATATGGTACCATACAGCTACTCAGCTACTCCCCCTTGTACCTATCACGCAGGCGCAAACCGCTTCAATTTTTCACCGGTGTATTACAGGCCACTAGGATCAGGAGACGTTGTTAAAGGAGGGCCATTTAATATTGGAGTGTGTTGTTTCCTTTTTTGTTTTTTGTTTTTTTCGTGGCTTCTGGCTTCTGTGGCTTCTGGCTTTTGTGGCTTTTGGCTTTCGTGGCTTTTGTGGCTTTTGGCTTTTTGACCTATCCATCTATCTATCTATATTTATTTCTTTCTTTCGTTCTTTCTTTCTTTCTGTTTTTCTTTCTTTCTTTTTGGCAGCTGTTCTCCTTTCTCTTTTTGCATTTGCTTTTCCTGTTGTTTGCGTTGCAGAGACGAAACCAAACAAGGAAGCAATCAAGCAAGCAAGCAATCAAGCAAGCACGAGCTGCTTACCTTTGGATCTGGCGTGCTGCTGGGGGGGGCGCGTGCCCCCCCCAACCCCCCCCGCGCCACGAAATCTGCACTTCATCCCAGACACCCGCGCCTGCCACGAAATCAATATTTTAAGGTGAACTCCCCGGCGCAAAACTTTCTAACCAAGCAAATATGCCTCCTCTATCAATTTATCTATCTATTTTTCCATCTATCCATCTATCTATCTATCTATTTATCTATCTATCGACCCATTTATCTTTCTATCTGTCTATCTGCAGTTCAACATCCACAAAGTACTGCACCTGCCACGAAATCTGCACTTCAAGGTCCACAAAAAGTCCTGCGCCTGCCACGAAATCTGCACTCGAAGGCCCACAAAGTCCTGCACCTGCCACCAACTCTACACTTCCACATCCACAAAGTCCTGCATCTGCCACGAAATCTGCACTTCAAGGTCCACAAAGTACTGCACCTGCCACGAAATCTGCACTTCAAGGTCCACAAAAAGTCCTGCGCCTGCCACGAAATCTGCACTCGAAGGCCCACAAAGTCCTGCACCTGCCACCAACTCTGCACTTCCACATCCACAAAGTCCTGCACCTGCCACGAAATGTGCATTGCAAGGTCCACAAAGCACTGCACCTGCCACGAAACACGAAAAACAAAAAAGAAACAAAAAATCCAAAATTAAGTCGCGGCCCTTTTGTTAAATAGTTGTGGGCGTTGCAACAGTTCTCACTAACAGTTCTTTTTTGCAACTGATAACAAAACACAAACCTTGTAATCAATTAAGTAAGAACTTTCTACTACCCTTAGATCAGAACAACATCCAGATAAAAGAAATGTCCTCTTCACATGAGCCCCAGCACAAAAGCAGTGTTTACATTATAGAGAAGCCTTGCTGTATCCTAAGCCTTAGCACAAAAGGTTCTATTTGTCACAGGTGTCAGGAGAATTCATCGAATAAATAAAGCTAATGTCCTCATTGGTATGAATTCGTGTCCTGAAGAGCAGCCAACGTCCTAGATCAAAGCCCACGTCCTAGATCACTGTTTGTAGGGGGTTTGATCCTTTTTCCTTAAGGTATTCTGTCCTGCGTTTATTGTTTTCAGAGACCATGACCATGCTCACTTGAGCAAAATTTGTCCAATACGATCTTCTGAGATATGTGAAGTTAACACGAGTTGACTCTATATATACATTGTTACATCTACCCCTGCTTTCTACATGTGACTACCCCACCTCTCTATTGATACGTATATATATATATATATATGTCATGCGTTATATGCACACACTTTTGAATATGTCGAAGTATACATGCATAGTACACATGCACATGTTCACTGCACCTCGTGCAGATATGTAGTCTGGAAGACTGGATCGGTACACATGCATATTCTCGCTGGGTATCTTGCATGTATAGAAATGCGCATACAGATAATTGCTGTTCATCTCGCGCGCGTAGAACTTGTAACTATGAAATGATTTTCGGACATGAAGGTTCGTGTCAAAGTCTCGCAAAGTTTCAAACAGTTGTCGAACATCAACAGCCAGGTGCGTGTTGGGGCCAAAGTGTGAAACTGCCGTTGAACATGAATGTGCATCTTGCAAAAGTGTGCAATTATCGCCGAAAACGAGGGCTGAGATTGCCAAAGTGTGAAGTTGGCGTCAAAGTGAACGTGTCCTCGAAAATGGACATTTGGGAATGTGACCTGGCGGTGTTATAGTGTTGTAGTGCACATGTAGCGCGTGAAATAGCTACTCCGGGCTCGGAACTTTGCGGTACGACTGTTACGACTGTAGTGCCGAGAGTTTCTGCGGGCTCCCACCTCAAAATTGGCAACCTTGTAGTATGCGTGTTGTAGAACTGGCAACCTGGTAGTATACTGCAATGATTGGCGGTGTCAACGAGGCTTGGCCCTCATTGTTGTGTATGATGCACGGTGTGGCTAAATTAGATTTGTGATGTTATTGTGCCTGTGAAATTATTGGCAAGCGGGATGGTTGGCAGTGTCAACAAGGCTTAGTGTCACATTGTTGCATCTTGTTTCGGCGCATGGTGTAGCGAAGCATACACACGGCATGCACTCGCCGCTACCATGAGGCTCCTCTCTTCTTATTTGCGCATCGTGATTACAATAGGCAACGCCACTTGCACTTTGTAAAAGAAGGTGTCCCTTGTATTTGGGCACGCTGCTGCAAAAAAAGCTAGCGTGTCCATGAGTTTGTTACCTCGCATCGCGCTCCCAGGGGAAATAATGATCATGTGTTATACACGTTAAACATGGGCCCTGTGTTTTTCAGGTAGCGCCCCCAATGTTTTGCTACAGTATGTAACAAGCAAGAGCACTGACGATGTCGCGTGGTGCCCCTGGTTGTGTTCCACACGGCGCTTTCAAAACGTGAAACCTTGCACCAAACGCCGATCGACGCATCGTGTGCGTAAACTGTGGTTTTGTTTGCCCAACATTGCGCTGGGAAACAAAGAGAAGAGCAAAGAAAATCTAAACGCGTTTGGGTGGAGAGAGAATCAAGAGCACATTTATGCGAAGGAAACATTTGGACTTGAGTCTTCGCATTTCGACTTGTGAAGGAATGTCTTCCTGTTTTTGCAGCCGCGTTGCAGTCGGCACCGACGATCCGTTTGGTTCAGCTCTTGTCGCCCGAGCGCGCCCGGGGTTCTGCGCAGGCCACCGTAATTGTTTGTTTGCATTATTGTTGTTTCTTCGAGGCACATGTGAGATGACCAGGCAGACATGCAGCGGCTGTGTCGCATGAAAACCTTGCAGTGTGGAGACTCGCCGGTCTCGCAGGCAACCTTTTTGGTCCGAAGGTCGCTGCGAAAAACCCGCCTTTAGCTATGAACGTTGGACCAGAGTCGCGTTGTTCGCTTGTGGAGCAGGCTGAAGGTGGTGGACAGGCAGCGCACGCTACATGGCGATCTTGTCGTGGCTCATTCAAAGCCTATAGACTTTAGTTTTTTGGATCGCAGCCCCCTGTGTATAGCCAAGTCTCCTCGTGCTTAAAGACTTCGGTGGGTTGACATTTTCTGGGTATATTCTACATGTGTACTGTCGCGCGTGAGGTGCAGGCAAGATTGGTTGGACCTCCCGCCACGTGGAGACAGTGGCCAAGGGGATCTTTGACCATCTGCCGATGTGTGCTCATGAAGTGGTCAACAGTGGCAAGTGGAGCGGCGGTGGCATTGTTCGGCTGGACTCGGCCCTAGTCAGGCCATCAGCAGCAGATGTTGCTATTAATTTTCACGTTCTCAAGCCAGTGATTGAAGAATTCCCTGACCGAGTTTCTTTGATGGGTGTATGCAACCGGTTTATTGGTTTTATATAGTTATATATATATATATGTGAAGCAAATTGTTTTGATGATGCGTCGATTCTGGCACCTTCAAGGTTCCTTCGGGCTATTTCCTGACCGACTGCATCATGTGGCTGGACACTTTGTTCAAAGGACAGCTGCTGGTTGGAGCCAACACCAAACTTCAGATTGCGGCTGAAGAGGGGGTCAAGATCAAGAAGCTTGTGGGGGCAGTCCGATCACTATGGCGATCGTCGCCTGCTGGCAATCACCCTCGGGTGACTCAGTTGAAGGGGCTCTTGAGGCCTTCGCCCTCTCGCAGCCGTGTTGCATGTCTGCGGATGAAAGGTTCAGGTGTTATTGTCTGTTGTTGGTGGGTTTTATTTCATTTCATTCGAGCTTGCAAACTCATGGTCCCAGTCTGACCTGAGGCTCATCAGGATGAGTCTGAGGAGGAAAAGGTCGGTGAGAGCACTCGCGGCAATGAGGGGTCCGATTGCAGTGACATCGATGAGGCCATGCCAAGTGACGATGACGAGGTGTCTCCTGTCCCTGTGCAAGATGGTCAGGATGAGTCCGATGAGGCTCAAGAGGACCGTCGCGACCACGACAGTTTGAGCGCGTCAACCCTCCGACTTCCAGGTAGGGTGTTCTGGACAAGAAATACGTCGTTCTTGTCAGAAAAGGTTTCATGGTTTTGCTCTGAGCTATTTTAACATCAATCTTGCTCTGCGCGCAGTGTTTGCAAGTTTTCGCATGGCCTTGCAGGCAAGAGCGACGATGAGAGTGATGAGGATAGACCCATGGATGACATGGCTGACAGCCAGCGCGAGGGAGCATGGATGGGGCAGGCCTACCAAGTAGTGGGCGCGCTTGACCGGCTTGAGAAGACGGTTGTTCCAATTGAAACCCTGTATGATTGGTGCTGCAAGCGTCGGCCTTCACGGACAGAGTTTTTGGGTACCTTCTCCAAGCAGGATGTGAGGTACTCTAGCGTGGAAGTGAGTAACGGTTACTTTGGTGGTCTTTGTGTTTATTTCGATGCGTGTAGGCGATTACGTCAAAAAGAGTTTGACATGCCTTTGGCT